CAAAACTGTGGAGCTGTGAGTGACGAACATGGAGAAAGATTCCATCAAGACATTGCCTTAATGGAACAGAGATATCAGGGCCGTTGGAATGAAGCAATGCTTGCAGACTACTGCTGGTCTGTGTGTAGGGATGCTCCAGAAGTGTTTTATAAAAGACAAGCTAAACGACAGCGATCTTACAATGAATCGGATGGACTTAATTGAAATTTGGTGGTACAAACTTCTTTTATTTGTCAAAACACTAAGAATAATGTTTTTTTTTATTAATTTTGTACTTAAAATATTCTAAAAGAAACATAACAATATTGTTTTATGTACTTTCACTTTTCACGTATAGTATAACTACTCTTTAAAAAATTTGGACTTTCACCCCATTTTTTGAACAGGCCTCGTATTGTTTGTTACTTGATCAGAGATCACCATAGTTGGTTGTTGTAATAGCATCAGAGACAGATCAATTAAAATGTTTTGCCTTACTGTCAAAATTCACAAATTCAAAAAGAGAGAAGAGCTGCATTAAAGGGTTTTTATACAATTAATTCATTTCCAATGTATCTTCCTTCCTTTATTTCGCGTATGGGGAATTTTCATGTTTTCTCCATCTATTGTGTAGTTTGTTTCTTCTAGATGACCATATATAGATGATTTTTTGTCTGATAATAAATGCTCCCGGAATGTCATGTTAAAATTTCTGCCTGCTGAACAGTGACCACATTCTAATTTATATATGCTTGATTTTTTCTACTTATCCTTTTTGGGTTCTGCGTTGAATAACATGTTCACCATATCATTCTTACTACTGAATGATGTAATTATGTTGAGTTTTGGAAAATTGTTTTTTATGTTTTCGGAGACCATTCCGAAATAGCTTAATTATCTGTTCTTATAAACGCGACAGTCACTCATTTATTCACCCTTGTTTCTCCGTACCGGTGAGTCCTAGAAAGCTTAAATTTGATATAAAGGTGCTTCCTAGGTCTTAGATGCACACTATGTTGTATTTGTGCATTAAGAAAGAATTTTTAAATATTCCAACTGGGGCGCCAGCCGCGGGGGAAAAATGTGTGCCAATAAAACAAAATTATCTTTTTATCACTGTTTCTCCATGCCCTTGAATTTTCAGTGGGTGAATTTATGTATAGTATCAGCATTGCACCCGTGCAAAATCGAGGCGGATCGCTAGTGCTAGCATATTTCATTGCTTATTTACGTTCTGAATGATTTAGATACAAGTTCATTCCTGATCATTTTTTGGTTCTTGTTGGGATTAGTTTCTCAATTAAGTTGACGAGAATATTGTTATTAGATACTATCTGCTTTTTGATCCTCATTTATTATTGAAAATCCTTTTCTGATGACGAAATCATAAATGCTTCATGTATCATTGATCTGAATGCCATCAATTTATGTGATAATTGACTCAAAGAATAATAGGGATTGTACAAGTCCGTAAATGAAGTCAAGAAAACTTTATAAGGAAAAAAGATGTTGTTTTTCACACTATGGGATAATGAGAAAACGTGTATGAATCCCCAACCTCCAGAGATGTTCGGTTTGATTAAACTTCATAAAGTAGGCAATGCCTTCAGACCAGTGGTATCCTATATTGACACTCCAACCGGTGAGTTGACAAAATTCTTGATTTATAAGTCCAGAGAGCTAACAAATTTTATACCAGCAAACACCGTTATAAATTCTATTGACATAGCCAATAAGCTGACTAATATTAACAACATTATCAACAATAAACTCTGTCCTTCTAAGCAACAAAGTGATCCAAAACATCATCATGCATAGTGGACGTGATTTTCCAGATAAGACTGATTTAAGTCAAAGTTATCAGTTTCTTCAGCCGTATCACTACCTGACATTTTAATTTCTGTTCAACTTTATAATACCGTATTTGTCTACACCACGTAACTCACTACTCTGACTTTACAGCGATATATCCGAATGAATTCCTCCAGCCGATTGCAGTTAAATCTGATTAGCCAGCGTAAAGAGGTTTGTTAAATCTATCAAATAATTGCAAATTTACGTGGTGATCATGTGGCGATCACGCATCTATCATTGTTTGGGTTACTTTGTTTGTTGGGAGAACAGAGTATAAATTGGTATCCTTCAAAATGTTTCAACAAACAAATGCGTTTTTGTGCTGAAAGACATACTGAGGAACTATACAACCTCTTTGATACCTGTCTCAAACAAAATTATTTCAAATACAATAAAAACTTTTTCGTGCAATATTCAGGCCTCCCAATGGGGGTTACCGTTAAGTCCCTTATTAGCAGATATTTTTATGGATAACTTAGCAAATACGAGTATCCCGAAGAATGCCTTATCACAGAAACAAATTTCATTCTGGTTTAGATATATGGATGATATCCCCGTGGCATTCGACGGCTCGAAAAGACAGATGAATCAGTTCTTGAATTTCCTCAACACTCTCCAAGATACGATAAAATTCACAGTCGAAATTGAACAAAACACAGCACTAACTACCTGGATCTCACTATTACAAAAATCTATCATAAATTTCAGTGTAACATCAATTGGAAAACACTTTTGCGAACTGTGAACTCCTATGGATTCTTTCAGTCCATCATCACATTATGGGCATTCAGATCAGTGATACTTATGATTTCTACAATAGAGAAAGTTTTTCAAGAAGAAATGAAGATCATAAATCAGATAGCATCTAATAAACATATTTCCGTCAAATTAATTGAGAAACTGATCTCCAATACGAACCAAAAAATTATCTGAAACGAACTATATCTGAATCATGAAGAAGCTAAGAAATATGCTAGCATAAGCTATTTGGGAAAGCTTTCCATAAATATTTTTTCTCAGCAACATAATTACATCATTTACTGGTGAGAATAATATAGAAAACATGCTACTCAATGGAAAACCCAAAAGGAAATAGNATGGGGATACTTGAAGAGTAAAGTTTACCAAAATCGACCAAATGATTTAGAAGAGTTGAAGGAACGCATCAGAGCGGAGATTGCACAAATAACCCCCGAAGTTCTCGGAAACGTTAGAAATGAATTCAGTGCCCGGCTTTCACATTGCATCATAGCTGAAGGTCATCAATTTGAACATTTATTATAATTTTATTGTACTTCAATAAATAACATGTTTTGGTTTATCTTGTATAAATGAATATTGGCATGGTTATACCGTTGAATAGATGATTAGTAGACCTTTTGAATGAGGTGCCACATGACCCCTGTTTGCATTTGAAAAAATTGTCGATTACGTCATCACGCCCACACCGGTGACGAAACGTCTTTCATATGAATATCATGAGATGGGCCGTCAAAAATTAAAGTTGACCTGTTTTTGGATTTCTTCCGAAAGACGCTCATTTTGTAAATATCGAATTTATTCCATACATTTGCATCGTACTGTATAGACCAGAATGTAGTGATTATTGAGTACCTATTCATACACAGGCTAGATGGGCAGAAATTTCAACAAAAGATACCGGGAGCATGTATTATCAGATGAAAAAATCAGCTATATACGGACATCTACATGAAACAAACCACACAATAAATAAAGAAAACATGAAAATTCTCCATTCGTGCAATAAAGAAAGGGAGATGAATCTGTTGCATCATTGGAAATGAACAAATTTTATAAAAACTACAATTTCAAAACCCTCAATGATCAAGTAGAACTATGTAGCTGTCTGCTTTCAAATTTGTGAATTTTGATAACTAGTTCAGGATAAGTTCAGTATTCATTGGCAGCTGAAAAAATCCACTAGTAGGTTTTTGAATATCAATAGTTGGTATTCTTGATATACTATAGAAAATAAATAGTTAGTGTTTCAGTATTGGTATTGATAATTCAGATAATATCAATTTGTTATTACTGGTAGCTAAAATGTTTTTCACTACTTGAACGAAATATACGATAGAATTGTAAAATATATAAGGGTATCCCAATTCCTTGTGATTTTTAGGTGAATTGGAACTCACTTCTGGCACCATAGATGTAAACGGTACCATTTCATATGCATCCCAAGAGCCCTGGGTGTTTGCAGCTACAATTCGTCAAAATATCTTATTTGGTTCCAGTTACGATAAACTTCGGTACAATGACGTTGTACGTGCATGTGCTCTAGAAAAGGACTTCACCCAATTTCCGAATGGAGATCTAACAATGGTTGGAGACAGAGGAGCTTCTCTTAGTGGTGGGCAGAAAGCTCGAATAAATTTGGCAAGAGCGGTGTATAGAGAAACTGATATATATTTGTTTGATGATCCTTTGTCGGCTGTTGACATCCATGTTTCGAAACATTTGTATGATGAATGTATCAATGGTTACTTGGTTGGAAAGACTAGGATATTGGTTACACATCAAGTACATCATTTGAAGGAAGCTGACCATATAATTATTTTCAATAATGTAAGTTATTCCGGAAACCCAGATTCAGTTTCTTCATTTTTGAAAAGATAAAAATATGCAGACCTCTGCATTTCTTTCAATAAACGTATAAATATGTATATGAAAAATTATATAGTATTATATCGAAGAGGAACATACAGTGAATCAGTAAAGAATGAATTTATTGTGTGGAAAAAATCTTTTCGGAATCAATTTTCGTTTTGAAATGCACATTTATTTTGCACGGTATTTTTTTTAAATAGTAACCTCTTTTTTTGACACTGCGAGTTAGCCGATTCATTCAGGAAATATAAGAATATGAAATTCATATCATAACGGTATCGAATTGATTTTCTACCAGTTGATTGAACAAAGTAATTTTCAAGGTTTTAGAACTGAATTGGCTGATAGATATGTGGAGCTTTCTTTTGTATGTCACTGTGAACATATTTTCTAGTTCTGAACTAATTCTTCTTATTATCGCAAAACAGACATCTGTTCTTTGCACTATGGTGAGTAGTGGCAGTTAGGAAAAAATATAAGTATCGCATCATACTATTCGAAAAACTTCATATGATCCAAGGTAAGGTCCCTTGGACCAATTTTTATAGGGTTATATGATATGGATATTAATATGAATATTCAAATAGAATATATATAATGAACATCATTAATTTCAGTGTGATTTACTAATAACACTAAACATGAATGGTAAACAATACTGTTTTTCCGTTAATCAGCTGTCGGCGCCCATACAAACGACAACTCTCAGAAGTTGAGAAACTTGTGCGAGCTAAGGAATAACGAGGTCTTACCTTTTAACGTGTGATTCCTAACACGGTTGCAGAATCATCCTAGCTTCAACCAGATAAATTCTCTCGGGAAAAATATCTGGTCGAGACAGGAATCGAACCCACGGTCTTCCGATCATGAGTCGGGCGCACTACCACCGAGTCCTATTTCGGCATATTATTTTTTGCTGTTCCAATTGGTATTGGAAATACTATACAAATGTTCCTTTAACAAACAGACGAGTACCTACTTCACAGGTTTTTGTGTCTGGCAAATCAGGTACACAACATATATCACGCATCAACACGCACCTCATAAATTTTGTTGGCCACAAAAAACTGTTTTATTCCATTTTTGAAAACTGCGAAGATTCACTTTTTAGGATCTAATAACTTACTCATTGAGCCCAAAAGTTCGACTTTTGCCGACATTTCGGAAAATTCAATAACAATATCACTAGATTACTAATTATACGTGAGAACGATTATCACGTCGCCAATGTTCTATATGAATATTCAAATAGAACATAAATGATGAATAGCACTAATTTGAGTGTGATTTATTGATAACTCTAGACATAAGTGGTATGTATACAAGTAGACCGTCATGGATTGGGAGTCGAGGTACAAACATATAAAAATATAGTTTAAAAAAACTAAAAAACACGCTTTTGGAGAACATCAAACTAAAAAGTTGAAAATATTTTTTTTAATAAGCTCAAAACAATATCGATTGTGAAAAAAGCTTGGGCTCAAAGCGTTTACGTTTTTTTTCACAATAATTCTAGTATTTTTCGATCGTTATTGTTATAAGCTAATTTGAAAACAAAATTATTTTTAACTTTTTAGTTCGATGTTCTTCAAAAGCGTGTTTTTTAGTTTTTTTTAACTTTTCAGTTCGATGTTCTTTGAAAGCGTGTTTTTCATTTTTTTCAAACTATATTTATTTATGTTGATTTCCTTTTTAACAATCTATCAAAGAGGTTACGTACAGTGCCATCTACCTGCGAATAGATCAAGAAATATCAAGGAGGTTACGTACAGCGTCATCTGCCCGCGAATAGATCAAGCAATAATGCCGATAATTCTGTCAATACAGATCCCGAGCTTGAAAGTTACAAGCATACATACATACATACATACAAACATACAGGTGAAGCTAATATAAGGCGTGTGAAAAGAGAACTGGTTTTTACACCAATTTATGGATTTCCGATAAAGGGTGATACAAATACACATATATGACAGTAATGTTGGTAATTTTGTTTCCTTACGTAAATAATCTTCATCGCAGCTTATGTTAGACAGTATCATGACCGAATTTTTTAGATTAGAATAACCGAATGAGTTGATTGAAGTAAATGTTGCTTTAATTAATGTAATGCTCAAACTTAAACCCTTTCCGAGCATTTCAGTATTCAAGACGGAAAATATGTTGATAACAGTTTATTGAAAATTGTTGCTACATTCATTTTTCAGTAAATTTTTCAATTAGTCGATATTAAATGTAGTTTTGTATTGGACATCCTTTGAAAGACCACACAAAAAATTTAAAGGGTCAGATCTAATGATTTTGAGGGCCGAGAATATTTCACTATCATTTCATTTTAGGTTTTTATGCTTAATATAATTGTTATTGTCAGTTATTCATTTTCAATAATTCGTTTTTTTTCAGTTTTTTCAGGGATTTCAAATCATTTTATATAATATCAGACAATGGAAGTCCGAACTAATGGAATTCACTTGTATTCATTTTTCAGTCAAATGTAATATTTTTGATTGTCAATAGGGAATTATAGAAAAAGAAGGAACTTTCCAAGACCTATCTGAAAGTGATAACTTATACGCAAAGCTGCTGACTGCCGAACCTGAACCTACAGAAGAGGAGAGATTAAAACAAGTTGAATCTGCTGTAATATCACGAAAACTGTCGCTAAGGGTAAATGAAATGAATTAGCTCAATAATAAATGATAGATCAATCATGTTTTCACAGTGTGTGTTTAATCTCATTTTTTCAACTTCTATTGATTTTAGAGCAGAAACTCATCTTTATCAAGTGCTGTGAGCGAAATCAGTCTGACCGAAGCTATAATAAAAGAACACATGGAGGAAAATGAACAAGAAGAAGAAGAAGAAATAAAATTGAAAGACATTCAAGAAGATTCGTCCAAAGGAAAAATCCATGGATCTCTGTTTTGGAAATACCTTACATCGGGAGGAAATATTTTTTTTGTAATCTTCGTTTCATTCTTATATATTACTACACAAGTAATAGCCAGTGGGGTGGATTATTTCGTCAGGTACTGGGTTGATTTAGAAGAAGCACGAAACCTCACTTTCGAATTCAATACCACTGAAGAAATAAAAATCGAACCAACGTCACCATTGTCTACAGATACTTGTTTGTACATCTATGCAGGAGGTTTAGTCCTACTTTTCAGCATTGCTCTTTTGAGATCGATGTTGTTTTACAAGCTTGCAATGTTCTGTTCACAGAAACTCCATGATATCATGTTTTCTAGTGTGATAGATGCGACTATGAGGTTCTTCGATACGAATCCTAGTGGAAGAATTTTGAATAGATTTTCGAAAGATATTGGTGCTGTAGATGAACTTCTTCCAAAAGTGATTCTAGATTCTGGACAGGTATGATAAAGACCGTATTTTTTTAAACTTTTTCTGAAATCATTCTCATTCATTTTTATTCGATGTTCTCGATCTCTTCACTATTTAAATTCCAGCTGTTTTTGTTTCAATGTCCGTGTTATTTATAAACATGTTTGTATATGAAACGAAATGACATGAACAGACGATATATTTATTTTACAATTTCAGATTTTGCTTCTGATGGTCGGTTCATTACTGTTGGTTGCAATTGTGAATAGTTATACTCTAATTCTCGTAGCTATAATTGGAGTACTCTTCCTATCTATCAGAAACGTTTACCTAAAGACTTCCAAGAACATAAAACGTCTTGAAGGAATCAGTAAGTGGATTTAATTTATTAAAATTCAGTATATAATTAAATTTTCAAAAACAGTGACAGTAGCGATTTGTCTCCACCGTAAAAAAAATGATGTAATCATTCATTTAACTTTCAATTAGAGAGAACAAAATCTGGGTTGGGTGATCGAATGGAACTCGTAATACCAACCATTTTGTTTGCTACTACGGCAGATATAATCAGTTGTATATGCGTTTGCTACGATACCGAAAGGTATATCTCAAAGTCTCAGAAACGCCTTTTTGTTGTTTGATTCAACCATGGTCTACCAGCCTGGATTTTTTCTCTTACCATGACCCCGACCATTTTTTTCTCTTACCATGATTCCGATCATAAGAGCTTATGTTCTTATATTATTATACTCTATTATTATACTTCTGAATCTATCAGTGGATTCAACAAAAAAAAATTCAATTCGATTTCTTTTGCTTTCTCCTCAACAGTTTATTTATCAATTGAGCATGATTTATCCCAATAGATAAGCAACAGTTGGCATTTACACATATATAGGATGATATACGAGTATTCATATATTCGTTCAGACCATAAAATTGATCCAAATCGCAGTTTCTATATACAGTGTGACCCATTTAAGATGGAAGCACCCTTATAAAACTTACTTTTTTTAACCGATTGGAATGGTTTTTTTTTGTTAGGTAGTTATTCAAAAAGTCTATTAGGACATCAAATATCATGAATAAATCTCAATTTCCAGGGCCAACTAATCTTATTTTTCAAGGTCAAAAATCTAAAAAAATTACTAGCGATTTTTTTAGAAAAACTCTGACTACACCACTGGATTTGTGACATTTTCAAATGGGTAACATGTAAATTACGTTGAAATGCGTCAATCAATAAAAAAGTTATAAAGGAATGAAATTTGAAAAATATGCCGTTTAATCAACCCACCAATTCATGTTCAGGAATTTTATGAAAATTCTGTATACACCACTGGATTCAGGATGTCTTGAAATAT